ACTACCGTGGTATCAGCTTGCTTAGCATTGTGGGTAAACTGTATGCTAAGGTGTTAATTGAAAGAGTTATGGAAGAAACTGATGGAAAAATTTGGGATGTGCAAGCTGGATTTAGAAAGGGGATGGGGTGTACGGATCAAGTCTTTTCCATGCGCATGATAGCGGAGAAGTTTTTGGCTAAAAACCAGAAAGTTTTTTGTGCGTTCTTGGACTTGGAAAAGGCTTATGACAGAGTGGACAGGAACGTGTTATGGCAAACACTGAACTCATTTGGGTTGAGCGCTGGCTTGATACAGGCATTAAGGTCTCTTTATAGGGACTCTAGTGCTTGTGTCAGGATCAACGGGGTCTACTCGGACTGGTTTGGCATTCATAAAGGTGTCAGACAGGGATGTGTGGCTTCCCCGTGGCTGTTTAACCTATTTATGGACAGTTGTTTGCAAACTTTGAAAGTTGAAGAATGTGGGTTGAGAATGGGTGAGTCAACCGTCAAATGCCTTTTGTACGCCGATGATCAAGTCATATTTGCATCGTCGGCGGCCGAGTTGCAAATGATGGTTACTTTAATGAATTGTTCATTGAAAGAAAGGGGTATGAAAGTGAACGCAAGTAAGACGAAAGTGATGGTTTTTGAAAGAGAAGAAAGTAAAACTTTATGTAAAATAAGAATAGAAGGGGAGTTGATTGAGCAAGTGGATGAGTTTGTATATTTGGGGTGTTTATTTAGCAGGGATGGTAGATATGATAAGGATATAGAACGACGAGTGAACGCAGGAAATAGAGTGAATGGGGCTCTACACGCTATTGTGAGGAGTCAGAATGTGTCAACTAAGGCACGTATGGCAATTCATAATGCTGTGTTAGTACCCACTTTAATGTATGGTAGTGAAAGTTGGGTCTGGCAGAAGAAGCATGAGAGTAGAATAAATGCTGTAGAAATGCGTTCCTTAAGGAGTATGCTAGGGCTGAATCTGAATGACAGGGTGAGAAATAGTGTAATAAGAGAAAAGTGTGGTTTGCAAGATGACGTTGTGACAAGGATTAAGAAAGGAATGCTTCGGTGGTTTGGTCACGTAGAAAGAATGAACGAGGAAAGAGTGACAAAGCAAATTTATGTTGCAGAAGTGAACGGCAGGGTCGGGAAGGGACGCCCTAGACGAAGGTTTATCGACCAGATCGGCGATACATTGAAAATGGGCCAGATTAGGAGTACCCTTAACCGACGAGCGTGTATGCGTAGATATATGGATGTGAAAGAGGCGAGAGAGGTGTGTCAGGATCGCGCCAAATGGAAGTCCGTAGTCTCTGCCTACCCCTCTGGGTGACAGGCGTGAGTGTTTATGTATATATGTATGTATGTAACAAAAAAACTTTACCTCAGTGTCAACTAGCGACATCTGATGAACAGAAGATTATTAATCCCATTGACTTTAGCCAGTATATTCTAGTCTATGATTAGCTCATTGAGTGAGGGCGGGAGGTGCTCTTCAAACTAAGTAAGAAATATCATTTTTTTAATTTTTTTTACTATATGCGGTTCTTATTATAAATATTTAACATTTTTAACATAATGGACTCCCGTAAAGTACCGCCTGATTCTGTTAATGATCCAATTTGGAAGTCGATGTAAAGATTTAATATCTTTACATTTTAATGTTCTCCTTGTAACTGTAGGAACAAATGTTAGTTTGATGAGTGATAATGTATAATAAAAAAGACATGTTAAGTCTTAGATTATTATCAGGCTATTCTATGCGGTTATCCAAGGACTTGAATAATAGATGCTAGAAAGTTCACTGTGTACGATGTACATAGGTATATTGTGCAACACGTATGTACACAAACGGAGTGTTACGTTGCTTGAATTGTTACCTACTCGTAATTTCTATTGGTTACACAATATTATATGAAATTATAAAAACTTGCGAATATAAATATAATAAAATATAAAACTGTACCGCGGTAGATCAAGGGCAAAGCGTTACTGTAAATTTTTCTATACGCGACTAACCTATTGCAACCGATAGTTGATTGCAATTTTAAGTGTCGATTTACCACGTTCTCGACGGTGAATGAAAGCATCTTAAGGAAACCAGCATGTCCAAATAATATAATATTTCAAGGGAATGTGAAGTCAGTCAACGCACTTCTACGTATATAGGGAATAACTTTTGACCTTAATTTGATGAAACTGCAGATTCGTATTTCGATACAGAGTGTACATAACACCCATGTAAGACCGATTGTCGACCCCAGTACGATGTACTTCGCCACTCTCATTTAAGACTTAAGACTGCTTGATGAAACGGCAATGCTTACGTGGTAGAACCATGCTGCAGCTATATTACTGGTATAGTTGTAGCACGAATGGTTTGACTCGACCGGGGTAGGACCACGCTCTCACAGAATACCAGCGTAAAATAGCATCGTTACTGCTGTGTTTCGTATGGTGAGTGTGGAGAACCGGAGACCCTTTTTACTGGAAACGAGGCATTTCATCTTGGTCCTCATGGGTGACAACGCATCTGCATTTTGATTTGTAACCGAGGATAGATGTAGATGTCTATGGGCCACAGCAACTACTTACCATTAGGTGGACTGTGTGCTCGTTTGTCACCCTTATCCTATAAAAAAATGTAGTAATTTATCCTATAAAAAAGTGATAAAATTAAAAATTTTGTACAATCGACTTCAATATAAATAAAATGAGAACATCATTAATTGTAGTCGAAGTCAATTAAATACACATTATTAAGGATAACTCAAAACCTACCGGTTAGACCTTGATCAAATTTATATGGGAGAAGCCCAGCATTCAAAGAAAAAAAGTATCATCAAAATCGGTTCACCTAGAAAAAAGTTCTGAGGTAACATACCTAAAAGAAATACAGTCAAATTGAGAACCTCCTACTTTTTTTTTAAATTAAATTAAGGAATAGTCTAGTAGTATTTAGGTGTAATATCGTTATTGGTAGTCATGATCACAGAGTGCACACTATACGAATGTTAGACGTATTGTCAACCGCAGCACACGAAGTTTCGCCATAGTTATTTAAGTCTTTATAGTTATTTAGTCAATGAAACGGAAAAGCAGTAATTATACATGGTAGAGCCATGCTTCAGATATACTCATTCTGCATTTCGATTCTTAATCCATTATAGATATAGACGTTTATTGGCTACAGCATCTAAGTACTTACCAAAAGGGGGACTGTGCCGTCGTTTGTCACACTTATTCTCTATAAAAAGAATATTGTATGAAAATAAATTGCCCGCAAGGTCGACCAGCCGTGAAAGGAACACTTTTCTCTCATTACATCTCGGATCTGCTTTCTAACTATAAAGCGTCATTTTCTACGTTTTGATAATCTCCTTGTCTGTAAGTTTGTAAAATTTTCTTGATTCTTCAAACGGTCGTCCGTCACATGCCTTCTCTTCCCCTTTTCCCTGTTGTAATGGGATGATTGTGAAATTTATTACAATAAAAGACACTATTTACTTTAATCATCAAACATTCCTACTCCCCGATGTATAAAACGAAGCGTCAGTAGCCTAATGGCAGGGCGCGGACCGCGAACTCGAAAGGTCGTGGGTTCGAATGCGCCATTCGACTACTGTCGTGAATCACTCCTAACACAAGCATTTTAAGCTTACCAGAAGTGGTTCAAGGGAATATTAGTAATGTTTAATAGCATTACTAGTATTAAAAAAAAAACTAAAAACAGTAACACTAGCTGCGGTTCCTCCTTTTACGATTATATTTAGCTTTTGGACGAGAAAAGCAGCAGCCTTCTTGTCTCCAGAGTCGTTACAAGTCGTGAGTACAGTTTCTTTAGAAACTTAACTTGCACCAATAGTCTCTATCTCTTCTTAATTACAATAAAAATGGTTCCATCGTTTAACCGATGATTCATGCCAATGTCAAGGTTGAGAAATACAAGGGAATATTACAGAAAAAAAAAGAAAAAACGTTTAAGTTAATTTTGACTGCCTACGAGTTTTAGGGATAGTTTTGTGCATAACCTAAAAAGAAAATAAACACTACAAGATTAGTTACCGATCATATTGAAATACGAGTACAACAGATTAAAAAGTACCTAATACAGGAAGGTCTCCATCTCACAAATCTCCCTAAATTACACAAATTTTCAATTCTCGGAGGCTTATGTGGCAATTTACAAAACGTACTTATATAAAAATGTACTTCTAATGAACAAATACCATTTTCTGCCGACTTCCAAAAAGGAGACGGTACTCAATTCGACTGTATTTTTTTTAATGTCTATGTATAAATTTTTACTGGGTGAACCGATTTCGACGATTCTTGTTTTATTTGAAAACTGATACATCTCGTGTGGTCCCATATAAATTTGATCAAGGTCACACAAATAGTTTTTGAGTTATTCTTAATAACTTATATTAAAGTCGGCTGTATAAAATTTTAAATTATTGTCTTCTAAATCATCCTGATTCTGATTTGAGTAAATCACCATTCTATAGATGATACTGCACTGCAATTAGTGACCACATCTTTCTGATAGCTTATCTGTTTGAGAAACACCAACGGTACCGTACAATCACTGCCAGTTTTCTTATAACTATGGCATCTACCGTAAATTCGTAAAGCCTGCGCGCGCGCATGGGTGGGGGTGACTCCCACTAAGCACAACAGTACCTTCGCTACCGTGGCGGAAAACGCATGTGTCGACTAGGTTTTTTTCTAAATTATATTTCGATCGAAAACCATTACGTTTTCATTTACAGCAATTGCTCTAATTTGTAATTACGTGTATCTGTGCGCTTTTTAAATTATGTGTAACTGTGAACGTGTGTTCTCGAACTGTGTTTGTGTGCGTGTAGATGTGTGTCATTGAATGAAACACGCTCACCAGCTGCAATAAGCGAAAATGTGACTGTTTGTTGTTGCAAGTGTTTTTCGTCGATCGCTGATCGAAAAATGGCCTTTACTGCCAGCTTATAATATACTGATGTTCACTAAAATGCGCGAGTTTTTAAGGATCACTTTGGTGTGTTTGTGTGCTATCCTCTTGGCGGTACATGATGGCAGGTGTGAGGAAGACGTGGTCTCATCGGATGCTACTATAGAATCTGAAGCAATCACGCGATCTGATGAAGCTGAGCAAAGGAAGGACAGCAGGAGCACTTTCTTAACAGGTAAGGAGCGTGTGTGTGTCTATCACTTTATCTCTACACTGTAACCCATTAAAAGTCCACTGCTGAACTTGGGTCTCCACCATATATGGCCAAAAAGTACCGTCCTGAGCTACATACCATCCATCTATATGCATGTGGCATCAGGTTGTTACTCCATATAGTGGGGGGTCGCCCAACATTACATTGGTAGAGCCATGCTGCAGCTATATTAGTAATATAACTGTAGCACGAACGGGTTGGCTCGACCGGGGAAGTACCACGATCTCACAGAATACCAGCGTAAAATAGCAGCTTAACGCTGCTGTGTTCCGTATGGTGAGTGTAGAGAACCGGAGACCCTTTTTACTGGAAACGAAGCACTCCATCTTAGTCCTTACGGGTAACAACTCATCTGCATTTTGATTCTTAATCGAGCTTAATTGGCTGCAGCAACCACTTACCATCAGGTGGCCCGTGTGCTCGTTTGTCACCCTTATCCTATAAAAAAAACCACTATGCTTGTGTGTGCACTATGTGTTGTCAGTACGAGACTGCCTCTCGAACACCTTTCTTCTCCGACGGTTGTTGGTTCTGCGAGCTATATGGCCAGCCTATTGCCATTTCAGTTGTCTTTTCAGATTTTATCCCGAAGAGCGATTCTGATCACAGTCTTTTCCATCGCACGCTGGATATTTCTTATTCGTGTATATTGGGTGATAAAATTCAGTAACCAGGATTTGCTATATCAATCACTGAAATAGCAATAAACAAGTGTTTTTGATGTAGCTCTTCTCAAAAAATAGGTAGAGTCACTGTCTCTATGTTCAATTTCACCGGCGAATTTTCGAAAATTCCATTAAATGCATACTTTTTGTAACGAATTCAAATGTTGAAAATGATATAGCAAGTAAATAATAGTGTAATATAAAATATGGTTACATTAATACGTTTCATTTAGTAGCATAATTCAACACAATTTAATGGTAAATACTGTTGCTATGGAATCAACCTTTCCGGGTCCTTTATTATTTATAATATAAGGGACCCAACAGGTTTGACACATAATCAAGTTATATGACGGAAACCAGTCTGACTAGTTTAACTACGCATGTAGAGAAAAAAACCTATAATTTCGCGTTTATATTACGAATATTATAATAACATCTGTGTAGAGTTTATTTTGACAGCCTCGTTAGTCTAGTGGTTATAAAGGCGGTTGCTGATAATAAGGTCCTGTGTTCGAAACCCGGGTCGAGTTAGTATCAGTTATTGGGTTTTTACATTGAGTTATATGTACTACGTACTAGAGAAGCTATTCCGAACAAAAATTGTGCGCTACTCTGTCTTCGCGCATGCGCGGGAGATAGTAGAGTCGCATGTGCGAAGACTTTAATATAAAATAAGATGTTGATATAAAATAAATATAAGAATTTAATATAAAATACTCTTATTTTAATCTAAAATAAAAAACATATTTCTAAATAAAATGTAATAATAATTATCTTATGGAATTCACAAATCTTCAATTTACGCAATATTTAGTTTAGTGTACGGATTGCAGTACAGTTCAGTTGAACATAGTCAATGTTCGGAATGTGAAATCTAGTGCGTAGTACATATATATCGATTGGTTTTTATGTCAGCAGCAGTAGTTGTTTTTATATTAGCCAGTTCAGTAGCGTCGTATTTAGTCATAGTTCATCACAACTCTCTACTCTCTCTTATTAAAAGATTTTGTTTCCTGCACAGTTTTCTGTACTTTGTTTACGAGCGGCCGGTCAAATAATTCATTAACATTCCCGGTTAATGCAGGATGTGAACACATAATCGGAAAAGAAAATCGTAATAACTAATCCGGTGTTTATATTCAAGAAGTATTTACATTGGCTTCTAACAGGCTGAAAGAAAATTAATCTCTACTTTTTTCACCCACTTCAAAAAGGAAGAGGTTCTTAATTGGACAGTATTTTTTTTTTTAATGTAAGTTACCTCATAACTTTTTTCTAGGTGAACCGATTTTAATGACTCTTTTTTTTTATTTGAAAGCTGGTGCTTCTCATGTGGTTCCATTGATCAAGGTCTGACCAGTAGTTCTTGAGTAATCCTTAATAATTTATATTGAAGTCGGTTGTACAAATTTCTTAACTTTACCACTTTTTTATACATTTATCTATAACATACTAGTGATCTGCCCCTGCTTAGCATGGGTGATTTTTGGATATGGTCCAATTATTGGATGTGGTCCAATTTTTGGATGTGGTCCAATTTTTGGATATGGTCCAATTTTTGGATATGGTCCAATTTTTGGATATGGTCCAATTATTGGATATGGTCCAATTTTTTATATGGTCCAATTTTTGGATATGGTCCAATTTTTGGATATGGTCCAATTTTTGATATGGTCCAATTGTGAATCTAAACCATTCAGGTACCTACTCAAACCTACACAAACAATTACATCAAAATCACTTCATCCATTTTCGAGTTTTTACGAGACTAACGGACATCAATTGATTATTATAATAGAAAAAATATATACAATATTTATTATCATAAAAGAAAAACTAACAATAAAATCTTAAATTATCATATACCTAATCCTACTTCCCGCGGCATAGTACCAAGAACGCTGGCTGCGTTTCCTCGCTGAATGGCTTTACTTATTGGCTTTTGGGTTAGAAAAGAAGGAGCCCTCCTATTTCCATCGGCGACAGCAAGTCGCGGATACAGTTCCTGAACTTGAAAACAGTTTTTTTTTAATTGACTGTTGAATTGACCAGTATTTTTTTATCTGTCTATGTTGAGAGTTTTGCCAATATGACTGAGATTTTATTTAGATTAGTATAGTGCTATGGTAACTAAGGAATTGATATACAGTTGTAGGTACCTTGTTGTACTTTGAGCTTGTGATATACCTTTTCCTTAATTCACTCAACAACTGCCGTGTAGTGGCGATGTAAGGATATCCAGTACCTCAAGTGGTCCCGAGAGTATCGTAAGAGGCGACAGAGGGAAACTGAAACAGGAGATGGGCAGCAGCATCTTCCTGATAACAACTCTAAATAATAAAAAAACTAAGGTTGCCAACCCGCTTGCCAAGCGTGGCAACCATGGCAAACCATGAAACAATCTATTAGGGAGGCCTATGTTCAGCAATGGACTTTTTATAGACTGTAAAAATTAAACTTATATTAAAAGTAATTGCTTCAGAAGCCGTGGCTTTATTTTCTTTATGTATTTTTAGCACCGACTTCTGAAGCAGTTGAATTATTTTGTTAATACGGAAATTCTTTCATTCTTTTTAGCTATTTGAAGTCGGATTTCACTTTTTTATAGGATACAGGTGACAAACGAGCACACAGTTCATCTGATGGTAAGTGGTTGCTGCTGCCCATAGACATCTACATCAAACAACTACTCTACACTCACCGTATGAAACACAACAGGGTTAACCTGGTATTTTACGCTGGTATCAAAAGTCTAATTTTCGCAATAATGTTTGATATACGTAACACATTATATACACATTCAACAAAATGCGTGTAAAATTGCAAGTATAAACAATAAAATCAAATGTTATGTAGAAATGTCACTTTTTGCACGGTGTATATAAAAGTCACGTATATGTGTATTTCTTGGAAAGTAATTTGTTATCCATAATAGACGTTTACAGTATAATATATAGAAATAAAATATTTACGTGATATTTCTGTTTTTGTACGTTATAATTCGAGAAATTTTAATGAAGTAGTAGTCTACGTAGTAGCAACGTTTCTGTTTATTTCTAATAAATTAACTTTAAACAAATTAAATACCGACATCGAAAAACTAAAAGGAACAATATATTTTCACATTCTGAAGTCAGAGCTTTGATTTTTCTGTACACTATGTCTTAGCAACATCTTTATTTATACGAAGTCGGATTTGACATTTTAAAAAGTTATTTTTTAACTATGACACGGTTATGGAGTTATGTATTACAGGGCCTCATCTTTCTCGCCACCTAAATTATATATTTGCTTGTTCACACCAATCAAGGCGACCAATTTTGAAACTTATTACAAGGGAAATGTTTGCAACAAATGGATAAAAATAGCGTAACGTTTCTTATATTTAATCGAAAACACTACACTAACTTATTGAAGTAAACGCGATAAAATGCGTAAAAGTAATTTTATTTAAAAATAATGTAATTCTGATAATTTTACTTTTTATATCGTATACTTTATAATCTACAAACATGTATTTTACGATACGTAGATTTTTCCTTGTAAAATTTTTGGATAAGTAAGTAGATCGTCTAATTTAAATCTACACGCTCTTCCCATCTATTTTTGGTAGATTTAATCACTTTTATTATTTCAAATATTGTATACATGCAAAAATTTACAAATATGCAATAGAAGAGGCGTGCAGATTTAGGTTGTATAATAATGAGTATGGTAAACGGCCGATTTTTCAATCGTCAAGTAAATTATCCATTTAATAAGTTATAATCTGACTGAATATAAAATGTGAAAAACTTGAACTATTTTATTCGTACAACTGTATTTTATTACTTGTTTATGTAGTGTTTTATACATTGAATATATAATTGAAGATTAAAAATATGTCGTGTTTTATACTTTGAATATATAATTGAAGATTGAAAATATGTTGTATGTTATACTATGCATATTTAATTGGAGATTGAAAAAACAGACGTAAATCTCTCAAAGCTACAAGGAAGCGCGTGCAGTTTTCAATTAGATGATCTCTACGAAGGTGGAACTTAAGTATGAATAAATGTTATACATAATTGAACACCAAATGATGATTTATCGATATTCGAAACGATCCTTCTAAATACCCCGCACGGTGATTTAAAGAAATTAAACTTCCCTTTTATCCCCCAACTTAACGAACCCTTTCTTTGATGGAAAATACCAAATTTTTCAAACTCACGACTATTCGGAAATCGTCACTTTATAACTATAGCCAATTTTAATTACATTCTGTGAATTTTTTTTGCGACAGTACGT